CTGGAGGTAACTGTGGCTCTGAGCTTCCCCTGTCTAAAATGTGAGCTGGCCACTGAAATTAGATAATTAGTAACAACGGATAGGTAACAGCTAACAGTTTGCCTAAAAGTTCTTTGCCCTCTCCGCTTTCTCTCAGTAGATGGGGTGTTGTCATTTTGTTAATAACCTAGTCACAGGCAGGGCACTAATTCCTATGCTATGTGGCTGGTAACTGCCCTTGCTTTCAGTGCCCCAGCCCTGCAAGCTGGAGAGCAAAACAAGGGAAAAGAGATGGTATCAAGCAGCAGAGGCTACTTTTCAGGCCTTTGCACTTGGTCCTATACTGTGCAGAGTCATCGCCAGTCACACTGAAGGTTAACAGTGACCTTTCAGTGCAGCGAACTGCCTATAGTACTGATGTAGCGTCCCCTGGGCTCTCTAAGCCAGCACAGTTAAGCCAGATAGCAATGATCCAGCCAAGAGGTTACATAGTACCAGAGAAGGCAGTTATCCACCAGTGCTTAGGTTAGATGTTTCTTAATGCCCAACCAGGCTCCTGTTAGACACCACCTGATGCCTGGCTTGTAATGAAACTCCTCTTGGCATCCATGTGCTTCTACTTAAACTGCATTCAGTAGTCAGTAAAGTCTGAGCTGCAATCAGGAGTCTTTGCCTAGAAAATTACCTCTGGAAAGGAGACTCAGACCTCGAATGCACCTCTTGAAGAAGCAAGACAAGAGTGAATCCAAGGTAACAGTTGCTACTGTTTGTCTTATGTGTATGATCTGTCAACACTTTGGCTGAAGTATGCCAGGGTTGTTCGTAATACAGAGTTCAAGCCACAGTCCTCAAGGAGGTGGCGAACATTTCAAACCTTGAACAGCTGCTGTTCTCCTGCTGTTGCTGACTGCTCAGCTGTAAAGGGGTTGATTTCTTCCTTTCAGCTGACTAGTTGTAAAAAATGCTAGAAGCTAGCTGTCTGTAGCAATGGACCTATGAGCTTGGCAGGAGGTCCTTTCTTTGTGGTTAAGCACTGACTGCATTGGCTGTCCTAGAGCTGGGTCATCTGGATCTCTCTGTTTCTAGTTTGACAGTACTTTGACCAAGTTTTACTACTGGCTTGTGGCCTCTTAATGCCATATGTAGCAGCTGAAATCTGTTCTGTGCAGAGATGGGCCTCGTGCTGCTCTTGTAGATGTTTCCTAATTGCATATGGTGGTTGTTGGTTAAATGTTAATTTTAAACAGGTTTTCCTGTTCTTCTCCTTAATTAATAATAACATAGTAAAAAAGAATAATGGGCATATCTGAGTCTGGTTGAAGGGTACTGTTGGGCTGGATTGCCTGCTTCCAACCTTTGAATTCTTGTTGCGGTTAAAGGACTGATAGAACAGATTACCACTACACTTTTTCATAGTAATCTCATGGCCATGTTCCTCAAATCCAAAATACATCTAGAAGAGCAGCAGGTGTCAACCTCAGTCCCTTTCTATTCTGTTGTGATCTGTGAGGGAAATGACTCCCAATCTTTCTTGCCACTCATATTTAATGGATAGATAATGCATGTTTCTTATGGCCTAGTCAAAATTTCTAGAGTTAACAGTTACAGGTCTGAAATAGTTCAGCATGAAATACTTGTTGTTTGTTGTGCAAACTCAAGTCCTGCAGTGCTAAGTCAAAAACAGTTCAGTAACTTTGTGGTAACTTCTCTTTAATTAGTTTGTCTGTATATACATACTAGCCACAGGCTATAGGTAGGTAATTAGGTTTCCCCCTTGCAGAGCAGCTGGAAAAAGCATGTTCCTTGCTCTCTGAGAACAGCTTCTTGTGTGTGATCCCACCCAGAGCACTACCAGTGTTGGTAAAGAGGTAGTCTGCTTATTGGGAGTATGCTATGAAATAGGAGTTAACTTGACAAACACACAACTTTGTTTTCCACTGTTGTTTGGTGCCTGCATGTTGCTTGGCACCTCCTTGCCAAAAAATGGTAGTCAAGCCTCCGCTTTCATTTTATCTGCAGTGTCTGTCCAAAAAGAATTTCAACCAAAAATGTTGGAGTTTAGTTTAAGAATGCCTCCTACTGGAAAGGGCCCATTTCAGTTTCCCATCTTACCTGAAAATTAAATGATTACTTGAATGCATCAGTTTTGTTGCCCAAGTGTTACCAAACTGGAGAGGAAACATTGTTAGTAAAGCAATATTATTAAGGCAGTAACCTACATTTGACCTTCCTGTTCTTCCTACTGACGGGGGGGGACGACATGACACCTAAAATGAGGGTGTACTCAGAGGGTGTGGGTATTTCTTGATATCGCCATTCTATTTCTGACAAGTGCTGCCACACTGATAGGGCAAACTGCCTAGATACGGCTTGGTAACTACTTATCAGCCAAATTCTTCAATGTAAAGCAGAGGAGTCATGAGAAAACATTGCTGCTGCTTTTTCATTTCCTGAACACTCTGGAGTTAGCATGTGGGACCCAAATGCTATGAAAATGGGTAGATTTTGAAATATCTATAGTCTCTTGCAATTACAGCACTATTTACTTGACAGGAGATAGGTAGAAAGGAAAACAGTTTCCTGAGTTTAACAGCAAAAATATGAAGTGATTTGATAGGGTAGAAACAGCAGTCACCATTCCACTAGCTATCTGTCAGTGATGTAGACCATGTGGTACATGTAAGCAAAGATGGCTTGTAACAGGATTTCAGGGTAGCCAGGGCTGGGGACTGTAGTGTCTTGTGTGAGGCTGTCTGGGCCCCCAGAGAAGCAAGGAGTCTTAGCAAAATCCATGTGTAATTAGAGGAGATGCATCTGAATGTTTTTTTTCTCTTTAATTAAGATAATCTGCAAAATATCTGCATAAATTTATTTAAGTATTTGTTGGTTTATTACAGTTCTCTTTGTGGAAGACAGCGTTCAAGAAGCAAATATATTAAATCTCTCATACTTTAGGCTTTCTCTCATGCTGTACATAACGACCAATGTTGTAGTTGTCTGACAGCTACCATTTACAGTGCGGCAGCCTAGTTGAAGGCTATTGTGGACCATCTTTCTGTTACTGTTCAATTTGGACATGGTCATGGAAACCTGTCATTAGCATCTTCAGCCTGAATGAGCACTATTGTTCATATAACCTAGTGCCTTAAATGCCATTCAAGTTCCTGCGGTTCCTCTGAGCCTGTGCTAATGTGAGGTACTAAGAGCCCTTCAGCACTGATGCAGATGTGCTGCATAATAACTTGGGGAAGTGTGGAAAGGACAAGTGTGCCTGTGCAGAGGACTGCGGGGAACTTAAAGAAAAAGGGCCTGCAGCAACTACTATTCCATTCTTGAAGCAAGAAATTAGAATGAGGTACTCCAAGTGCCTCTGACCTTCATTCTGTTTCATTTAAGGAATAATTGCATTGACCGTTATGGCTTTTTTCTTCTGTCTAGATTTCTCTTTGTCTTTCTTGCTGTGTCTTTAGCTAACAGTTCCTCCCTGCTCTGTGCCTTTTGGGTAGCAATTTGATTCATTTTCATTGACTTGGTTTAGTTTTAAGACCTGAAACCTTGGCAAACAAGGTCATTCTGTCCCCAGAAATAGCATGCTCTGCTTCAGATTGACTCACCAATTTTTTTTTTTAACCATCTCAAAATATTGAAAAGGGAGGAGTGGCAGAAAGTATCTATCGATCACTTGGTAAGTACAGGAGCAGTTGGAAACATTCTTAAATACTAAACTAGAAAGACTGATAGAGCTGAAATCTGTGAAATACAGTGAACCTGTACAGTGCAACTTCTCTGAAGAGGGTTTGTTGAAGAGCAAGCACATTAAAAGTGCCTAGAAAGGAACCAGGGCACGTCTATGCCAGCAATCCCAGAGGTGCAGAGGCTGTAGATAGCAGTTGGAGACAGAAAAGCCTGTGGGCAGAAGAGAAGGAGAAGATCAGCCAGGTGGACGGAGGAGTGGAAAGAAGAATGCACTGATGACACGGGTATGCAGATTGCGTGAGGAGGTAATTGGCACTTCTCTCCAGTGCTCAGAGGAGGGGGATCAGGGCAATGCGGCCCTGCTGGAGGCTTTGCTTATTTGTTGGTTTTGTTGTTGGGTTTTTTAAACATGAAAAATCCCAGGGAGGTGTCAGGGACACCATCCAACCAAGGCAAAAGCAAGCCTTGGGCTCATCACCTGTCCTTATTTTGCTGCCCCAGAATCCAGTGCAAAGCAGAGCCATGGATAGCATGGATTTCATGGTATCAGGAGATAGCCATGATGGAGAGTGCCTTATATTTTCTTACTACTGATGTGTCTCGGTCCTTCAGGTGCTCCTCTCTAGCTGCATTCATTGTTTTTTGTCTTTTCATCAGTGACTCTGATAAGAGTGGAGGGTTCCCCACCTTTCTCCCTGGTTACCCATGTGCTGTAAGGGGAACTTCAAAGGAGGCTGTTAAAAGAAACTTAAGAGAGCTTCTTCCTTGTTTTCTACAGCTAAGACCCTAAAACATCAAAGCTGTCTGCCTTCTGAGTGTGCTTTCCACCCCATTGTCAAAAATGCTTGCATGGCCTGTGCAGTGAGAGGGGGGGAACCATGGCAGAGAACATGGCTGCTGTGACCATGAGGGTGGCTCACAGGCTGGCTGGAGGTGGTCCTCCATCCTGGAGAAAGAGCACTTGCTTCCTTGATCTTTTTCCTTTAGTGCAGTTAAGTTCTGACAAGAATTTTCCTCCCGGATTCACCAAGTTTTGCGACACTGACGGCAGCACAGTGTGTTGAGGGTAGGAAGAACTGTGGTAGGAAACAGAAGTCCTAATCAATCTGAGGTGAAGATGGTTTCTGCAGACAGTGTAGGCCAGGAGATGCTGGGATGGGACAGGAGGAAGGAAGAGGAAAGCATGGTCAGTTGGCTATTTCCTGACTGGTAATTGTAGAAGACAGTATTATGGGTTGCCCTTGGTCAGCTGAAGCAGACCTTGTGTGCTGTTTATTTTCAGTAATAGAATATTTTTAGAGTCTGAGGACTTGGGCTTCTTTTCATCAAAGCTTTTTGAGATAAGATCCTGGCACAAAGCCTCGCTGCCCATTCCTTTCTGCCGTCCACCAGCCATCCTCATTTTCTTCAATGACAACTACAATGTCTCCTTCACTGATGTCCAGTTCATCCATGTTCTGAAAGGAGACAGGGAAAGGAAATGTGGTTAGCCTGAGAGTACAGGAAGGCCCAAGCATGTGTACAGGAAGGCCCAAGCATGTATCTGGTGGGTTTCTTTTACCCTGCCTTTCATCAGCAGTCTGCCAGTGTCCTTCAGGTTGGGAATGAGCCTGAGATACCAGGCAATGAGGGACTGAGCACTTACTGACCTGGCTGTTTCCTTAAGATCCTCAAATTTCCCCAGTCTCCATGGTGTCTCCTCCTGAGCAGCTTGACACTTGTATCATTGGGGAAGGTCAGAAAGGGTTAAATACAACTGTTCTAAACCAGCTAACCGTGACCCTTTGGTAGTCTGCAGGTGTTACTAAATAAAACAGTGCACAGCTTAATTCCCAAGGGAGATAAAAGCAGCATCTCTACTAATCCAGGCTTTAAGTAGGTCTCTCAGTTCTTTTAATACGGAAAATCAGTGACCAGTGGAGGTACAGTGACTATTCCTGAGATAGGTAACTTCTATCTCTGAGACAAATGGAGTAGTTGCAAGTAAGCTATCGCTGAGCTCTCAGGCTGCTATCAGTCCGTTCAGTGGTGCTGTCCTATTTTCCATAGGAAACCACTTTGCTACCCACAATGTAGTAAAACAGAAAACAGGGTAAGAGAGGCTTCCAGATAAGTTTGATGCATCAGCTAAATCTAAATTTAATGTACCTGAGTAAGAAAGAACAGACTTGAAAAGTGAGAGGTCTCAATATACAATATACTGGAAGTAGTAGCAGGCTCTTTTCTCAGCAGGGAAAATCCATGTGTGTCATATTTTTAAGGCAACTCCTGGAGTAAGGATCTGACAAGGGGATCCAGCAGTCTCCTCAGGGGAACTGCCATTAATAGTGAGATACTTTCAGCTGTGCTTGGATGAAATTTCAGGCAAATAATAAAAGAGGGTTGGAAACAAAGCAAAACAAAGAACATGTAATAAAAGGTGTACACTTCTGTACCTAAGAGAAAGTGCTCCTTTCCAGTCCTTTCTCTGTTTTCATAATTTATCTGGCTATCTGATTTTGTCACATGCCAGCATTTCTTCAATGTTGGCTATTGATGGCAGGTCCCTTGGTGTGAGGGTCTCTCTGCATTGTAACGTAGGACCTCCTGGATGCTGCTCCTTCTGCTAATCTAAAGCTAATAAAAGGAACCTTTAAACTGACAAGTTATTGAATTGTGAAAGTCCCATTAAGGGAGGCTAATTTAGCAAGGGTCCAAGAGGTTCTGAATAAGAAAATACTCATAACCAGTCCATTCATAAACTTTTACTAATGGTACTATGCCTAGATAGGTCTGATGCCAGTGAGGGTTCAATATCCCAGTTAAGGATGCAGGTTGCTCTTTATAACAATCTTTTAGTACACAGACCACATCCACCATAATTCTGCAACTTGCACCATGAAGTACAGGGAAACAGTGTCATTTATGAGGATTCAGTCCTCTCCACCATGGAGAGCACCTTAGTTGAAGCCAGTATGTTAAACTAAAGTAGGACACTCCAGATGGTAAGTCAGATCGAATGGAGAAGAGTTCCTAGATAAGCATCTGTCACATATTCTTACACGAAGAATCTGTAGTCATGTTTCCTAGGAGAACATTTCACAAAGATCTAAGTTCACAATGCACAATACTGCATACTTAGCCATCATACCCTAAAAAATAGTTTTCCTTGTGTTTGCGGTCTCCTGTGTCTCTGGATGGAGGTTGTAACAGCTCAGCACTAATTTAGGAGTGGTACAGCATGCTAATGTGTAATCACTTTCAAAAAATGTTATTGTTTCATCTTGAAGCAGCATGGTCTGGTGATGTGCGCCAGGAACTGGGAGTTGGGATTTCTGGCTTCTGCATGTGACCTTGACCAATAATTCTCTAAGTGTCCCTGGCTGTAAAGTGAAGATAACACCTCCTTCACAGAATTAGCACTTTCAAGATGTTTGGATCAACATAATCTATTTTAAATCTGACACTATGAAATACTTATTTTGAAGCCTTTTGTTACCTGGGCTGTGTAGTCATAAAGTACTCTGTAGTCCTGTGTTGATGTGATTCCAGCTTGTTCATTTGCAAAAATGGATGCATAGACTCCATCTGGTTTCTCTGCTAGGGAGGAAAGAAAGAAAAAAAAAAACAAACCACACACAGAAACAAAGAGTTCAGTTGCTTATAAATGCATGGGATCATATGCAAGAGTTCACAAATACAAGGGTTTCTGTTCTCTCTCTGTCTGGAGATGTACATGTATAGAAAAGCTGCTGTGAACTGTAGGTAAAGTCTTGCACAAAAACTGTGTCCTGTTGATTAGATGACAATACACCTATTGAACTTTGTGGGAGGTCAGAAACTAGCTTTAGCCTCATCCAGGTTGGGAAAAATGTTTACCCTGCTAAAGCATAATCCAGTTGGTCCAAAGAGGGAAATGCTGTGATTAAACTGGTTTAAAATGTTTGCTACTGGTGGTATAAAATTCTAGCAGTTCAGTCATTCACATAGGGCTTTTCTTTTTCCCTTGAGAAAAATGGAAAATATTGTGCCAATGGGTCACCAGACATTTTCCAGTAGTTTCCATAGCTCTCAGACAGCTATGTGTCACTGACAAAACTTTTCTGTAAGATGTTGTTTTAATCCAGCTTGTCATAATTATTCCTCTTATTCCTTTCCAGCATCTGCCTGGGAGCTTCCCCTGCCATTGAGGCGAGCAGAAGTTTCCCACATCTGACTCCTCAATGGGATGATAGCACTCTGACAGCACATGGAGTGGCCAGGGTGCCTGTACCTTCCCACAGTCAACCCTTGGTTTAGTTGTCCTAAAGAGCACTGTCAGCTCCCTGACTTTTCAGATTTTGAAAGACAAGCATGGGAGCAGTTGAAAAAGCTGAACGCAGAGAGTGTGCCATTCCTGAGGGTCTTGTCCAGGGAACACTGGAACACTCTCCCCTCCTGTCCCCAGCCTAAGGAAATTCAGGAGTTACTACCCTCAGCTGCTTAATGCTGCATTGCTCTACGTGTGCCAGAGCCCGAGCTGGTGCCTGGCAGGTCCAGCTGGTGTTTGGTAGCACTGGAGAGTCTCTCCTGGCTGACCACCAAATGCAACAAGTAAGATAGGCTGGGCTTCATTTCTGGGTGCCCAAGCAGGCAGGCCTGACAAAGGAAATTGATTTGGGTCTGTTCTGAAGCTGTTCTAAAACAGCTTTTTCTTTTCTTTAGACAGGAATCACAGTTAAAATGCTTTTGTTTTAAATCAAACCAATAAAAATGTCATAAGCTGTTACTTTCTGCATAGTCAAAATACTATGTTTTAAATGTCATCTGATAAATGCCTACTTGCAAGGGTTACAATAAGACAGTGTAACTGTGAAATGAGATGGATATTTGCATTCATAAGGCATGAACCTGGCCTGTTAAAAACTTTAGGTATTCTCTTGCACTTCTTAGAGGTATGCTACCTTAGGAGAAAACTATTATCTAAGTCAGTCTGTGTTGTTCTGAATGTACAGTTCCCCCTTGCTTAGACAGAGGTTTTGAAGATTATATGGATTATTTGGCACTTTAGACTGGGAAATTTGCTTAATAAACATCCAAGCTAAATTCGTTTCCTGACTACTCTTACTCTTGACTGCCAACATGAGAGTATCTGCTCTACCATTTCTGCTCCATGTCAAAGTTTGATTTAGCAATATGATCAAAACCAAACACATCTGGTAAACTTATTTCCTGAAGAGGCATACCAAGAGGAGGGGCTGAAGGAGTGGCACTTCCCATGTTGTTTTTGCTGCTTCCATGCAGTAATCCAGAGAATCTGCAGAACCAAGAGAAGCCAATGACAAAATGAGCGAACAGGACTGCGTATGAGCATTCCTTCATCTCACCTGTCTGACTCAACCTTCCCTCCATCTGCTGCAGCACTGGGTAGATGTCACCTCTTCCTGTGCCTGTCTGTTTTCATTTATGCTGTAGATATATTTATCTTCAGTTAAAAATATATTTAAAAAATGCAGCAGAATACTGAACCATCAGCCATCACTAAATTGCATATAAAATGCATGAGATAGTATTTTGTTGTTGATCCAAAGGCTCATGGTGCAGAACTCCAATTATTTCATGATATTAATATGATAAGTATTATCAGTTGTTTCTAAGAGATTACCATCTCTTTGTCTTTAAGGAAAACTCTGATACAATTTAAAATACAAAGCTTGTATAACGAGCCTTTCTAAAAACTGTGAGTTTAAATGAATTTTTTTTTTTTTAATATATCCCTAGTTATATTCTACATCACAGCTGGGCACTGGAGACTAAGTAAAGTGAGAATATGGGTTAGGGTTCTCAAGCATAGGTAGAAATAGCATTGCATGATTAAGGCATATTAAAAGGGTTTGATTTTTCAGCTGGTGAATGCTCAGTGTTCCTGGAAAATGGACATCCAAACTCAGACTGAGTGTCTCTAGACTGCTTGCCCATGCAGAGCATGGTTTTATTCTAAATGGCAGTACAGTTGTCTTCTGTAACTGTATAGGATGCAGCAGTAGAATTCATTATTATAGAAGATCTGGTTTCTGGCTGAAAAACAAAGTATTGTGCATAAACCTTGTCAGCTCACTAACAAGCCTGGACCACATTTTGAATGGGAGATCACAGCCCGCTTCTTGTCTTTGCCATGTCATAAGGCTTGTCAAAATATAAAGCTCTTCTGCTTTAAATATGATGCCATTCCCACTGTGAATTAGCCATTTTAGTACAAAATATTAAAACCAATAGATCTACCATGCTCTTCTGCTGATGTAACTGCATCCATTTTATGGCATTTACCAGCATAAATGGATCAGAAAGAGAAAAATCGCCTCCCTAATCATCACAGTTATCCCACTAAGTGGTTTTTCCTTTGGTCTAGATACAGAGAGCAGCTCTTTGTTCTGCTCAGCTGGGTGGTGCAGTAAGCCAGGAGGTATTGCTGAAAAAGACAGCTCTCCCCAGCTTTTGCTCCCAGCAAGATTCACCTTTGCCCTCCCTTGAACAAAATGTTTTTGTTGCTGTGTGCCATGACTCACTAGGAAAGAGGAAATAAGTGAATGCTATCCACTGCTGGCCAGCTAATTGTTTTATGAACTCGTCCCGTGTCGCTCCTCCCACTAGGCCAATGCAAAATTACTCTGACTCTGGTTTTAATAGGTTTACTTCTTCTGTCAATTTATATTTACTGATATGTAGCTGCTTCTTGCTACAAGGGAGGAAGTAGTAATTTTCCAGGTCCTGTTTCCTGTCATCATACATTGCTGTTCATACGGAGAAATACCTGTTTTGGGAACCAAGGTTTGCCACTCACCTCTTCATCATCCCACAAGACTGGGTTGGGCTGCTGTTGCTTCTGTTTTGTTCTCTGCTGTAGTAGTTCTCATATCCTATTGCATCTGCAACACGGCAATAAAAATGAGATGTTCAAACAGGCAAATTTTTTTTTTCTCCCCACCAGAATGCAGCCCACCGTGGCAACTGTCAGGGGCTGCTGGAGCAAACTGCAACACAGCACCTCTCTGCACTTGCCTGTAATGTGGCTGGAGCAGCTGAGGGGGACCTGAGGACTTGACAAAAGCCATTCAAGTGATTGTAAGCAGATATGTCCTTGGTAGAAAGGCATGCTTGACCTGAGATAAGCACAGTCAAGGTGCTGAAGAGCCATTCTAACAGCTGTGGCTAACCCTAATTAAGGTGGCAGTTTCCTCCATGACTGCTTCCTCTGTTGCCTTAAAGCTCAGGATTTAAGGGAGCAGAGCATGGTCATTTTGACACTGGGACCATGTTCTTGACACAATTGGCTGCAGTGTGTTTTGTTTCTTTTTTCTTAATGTATTGAGTCCGGAATTTTTGTCGGAGCTGGGGAGATTTCTGAACGTTATTGCCAGCAGCAATAATGAGCAATTTCCTGGTCTGTGCTTGTGCTTGTCTCCCTACCGTTCATATCTCCCCTGTCCACCTCCTGAGACCTGATTTGCTGTTTACCCAGAGATATTTAGGTTTTGTTCTCTCAGACACTGTTATGTTACAATTCCTTCACTCTCCCCTATGGTGTCGTTAAGGGTGAAATTGAGACCATTTCCAAGTCTAGCTTTACAGATGAAACAGTTACAGATGGATTTATTTATTTTTCATCTCATAGCTCACAGTGTAGTTGCTTAGAGCTGGTGGCCACACACTCTTATTAAAGCCAAACAAATATGAGTGAAGTCTGTGGTACCGTATTATCTCAGTTCTGATACCAGCAAATTAAGACAGGCATTGGACTTAGGCTAAAGGTTGTGCTGACATTCTCACATTGGGTCAGCCAAGATCATCAGCAGAGCAGGCATGTACAACTAGTGAGTGTGAAGAATCCTTACAAGTAAGATTGCCAGTAATTAGGGACTTTTCTGACCAATTTAAGGGGCTCCTATTACCTTTCTAGATTGTCACCTTGGTATAGTTGCTAGTCTATAATGCACTCTAAAGATGAGGTAGAAGAGGGGAGTGAGCAACAGCATCAAGAAACCAGAAGGTTTGGTCCGGATGAAGGTCTCCTGCTACACAATACAGAATGACATGTGGGTTTCCTCCTGCATTTTGCAAATAATAAAACAGATCAACAGCTCACCATGTGCTACCATGCAAACTCGTTAACCAGAGCCGTGGAGATACTAGGATGCTACTTCCAGAACATGTCACCTTCTAGAAGGTGGCAAAAAAAACCAACAAAAAAGCAAGTCAGTTGTTTCTTTGCCTTTCATAAAGCTCTCAAGGGTTTTTCCCACCTATTTCTTATTAGAAATGAGTCCTGACATAGCCGAGAGCTGTTTGCAGAGAATTGCCTAGGCGACTAGAGAATGAAAAATCTCATATAGGGGGGGGGAAAAAAAAAAAGCAAAAACCTAGCTGAGAATTACAAATTTCTTAGTATACAGAAGTTGTTTCACACTGTTACAAGGCACAGTTCTTCTGCCGGTGAAAATGTAGTTTTTCCTTGGTAAATGCTCCTGTATCAGTGAATTTAAATCCCCTATGTGAAGAAGAATAAACTACAGCAGCAAAATGGTATCCAGTGCACCAGTATCGATATATTCATTTGAAAAAATCCCCCAAATCCCAATTCTTAATCATCATAGGTGTAATGACAGAAAGGTTGAGTGAAAAACAGGCCTCAACTCAGTGCTGAGTTAGTGGCAGCGTCCAGCTCTGCTGAAGAAGCTGTAATTGCTGCCAGCTCTGAGCTCTGCAATGAAATCAAAGGGGTGTAAGCTGTTCCTGTACGAGATAATGATCCCTTGGGACAGAGCATTCGTACAACTCCTAGCATGGAAGGTTTTTATCAGCATAAAATTTTCTTATGCCAGTACAGCTTATTCCCCACTCTGAATGGAAGAAGCTCTATCGATACGGCTGAGGGCATACTAAGGGCATACTACTGTGAAGTAGCAGTATGGTGTTAGAGCAGATAGTGGAAGTGAAACAGTACCTGTGCACAGATTAAAAAAAAAAAAATAAACGGGGGCAGAAAGCATAGATATGTATAACCAGCTAGTAAAGAGATGAAATAGGGATTTTTCTCTACTTTTACAAAGGCTGTGAATCTTTTTTTACTGCAGCAGCTTGTGCTAGCATTCACTCAGTCTATAAATACTTTTATTGCTTGTTGAAGGAAGAGGGTGTGGTTTGTATTTGGCCATGTGAGACATTAGATAGCCTCCTTTCTGGTGATGTGTTTGGATAACTCCTACCCTAGAGCAGCATGTTTTCATTTTACAACTGCTCTCAGCTCTTGCTGTCCCAGTCTCCATTTCAGCCCAGAGGTTTTTTGATCATTGAAGTTGATGAAAAGGCTGCTTTGGCTTGAATGGACAGACTCTGTGAACCGTGCATCGCTTCTGCATGCTGGAGGAAAGCCAATTTCATTCAAAATTTCCCCCAGCTAGGGTCTTGCCCTTATACAAACAGCTTCCTCAGAGGAAAAAAGATGTTATTCCCCATTGGGCAGGTGGAACAAAACAGAATACAAAGTCTGGTCCTTTCTGTGCTGCAAATGAAGGGGCAGCATCTGTCAAGGGGACACCAGGGGGCAGTTAGACGTTAAGTTGGCTCTGACTTGTCACCACTGCAGGAAATTGAGGTTGCCATCTCTGCAAGGCAGTTTGCCACCTCCTTAGCAGTGTCAGTTCAGCTGTACTGTGAAATGAGCCTGGCTGAAAAGCCAAAACAACTTTTTTTCTTTTTTTGGAGGGTTATTTTTAACCTGGATCATTCAGCTATCCCACTTACAGAGCTACACAAGGAGTAATGGCAGCACAGGGAGGGGGAAGGGAGCTGCAGCAGGTGGAAATGAATAGCCGGAGCAGAAACTCCTCCAGCTGGTTTCACCTCCAAAGGACGTGTACTGCACAACTGCAGCCTCAGCCTAATGAGTGACTCATCTGACAAGACCAATAGGAATAATTACCTGGAGGTTGTGTTCCTGTCATTTTAGTCTTAATGAAGTAGTCTATGTCTGATTCTACAACGCAGTTCTCCAAGCTTACCCGAACCTCTTCATACAGCTACAAAACAGAATCCAAGAATTTAATTTAATTTTTAACATTTCACATTGAATTAACGATTAATGCTCTTCTTATACTTTTCCCCTTAAGAGACACTTTATGCTTGATACGTCTGACCTGGATGAATCTTTGGTCTGTCCCCCATAACAAACATTCTTGTAAACACAATTGTTTATTTGTGCTCTGGATATCCTTTTAAGAGAGGAGGACAAAGGTAGTCCAGGGCTTTTCAATGCAATAAAGAAATTAATAGCAGGAAACAACCGTTCAAAGTCAAAACTAGTGTATTCTTTATATCTTCCAATTTTGAGACCATGACTGGATGCCTTTCTGAAAGTTGTGCCTGAGCCCAAATGTACTCGACTGAGTGTTCTGGTAGCTGGAAGCATTCCCCAACAAACTGGGGGGAGGAGACATGTAAGCATCACCAAGTGTGACACAGACCATCTGCATCCAGGCATATATCTGGTTTACATCTAGAGGGAACAAGCTAGATCAAGAATGCTCCCCCCTCACTGAACATGCACAACAGCCAGTTTGCTGGAGACAGTTAGCATGCGCAGAGAAGGGCAAGGTAGTGCTGTATTGCTAGAGCACTCTTGCTCCTCCTCTTCCCCCTCTGCATGTGAAGCTACTTGGCAGGTGCCCCTACCTCATCATCCTTCACACACTGCATGGAGAGCTGGTTGCAGTGAACCCACAGTGAGTTGCGGAGGATGGTGATGCGGTCGCACTCCTGGAGCTGGAAGACCTAAAGCCAAAGAGGAGATGTGACGTAGCCTCATGGTAGTTATTTATTTGCATTGCAGGCAGCAACAGGGTTGGGGCTCCTCTGGGACAAGTTCGTAGTGCTGCAAGCCGTTGTGACGGATCCTTTGTAAAGGACATCTTTTCAGCTACTGGAGAAACTACATCTACTTGTTAGTGCTCAAGGATTTGTTTTAATTGATCGCATCAAATTAAAGTTATGTTTTATAGACAAAAATAAAGCAGGGGAGAGGAATCAGGATCTGGATTTGACTGCTACCTCTACTGCCAAGGATTTCAGAGTCAGGGTCCTGTCTGCCCATCACACTGAAATCTTGATGCTTAACAGATCAGTAGAGTACTGGCATGAAAGGGTTGTATTTGTTAGAGGAAGAGCCAAAACTATCCATCTCTGCCTTCTAAAATGTCTTTCCAAACTTTTCTCTTTTGAAACTATTTGAGGCTCTCTGGAGTTGCCTGTGTTCATTTCTAAGGTTATTTTCATGGTAAAGAGAAGGCATTTTTCTTTCTTCAGAGTTTACTCCCTTCCTTCATCTGTCTGATTTTCTCATGTTGTTGCACAGCTTGGGAAGAATGAAGGGGGAAGAGAGAGGAGAAGTGTGAACTGAGTTGGGGGAAGAGGCAGATAAAATCTTCCTTTAAAAACTTAAAAAAAACCCAAAACACAACCACCCTGATCTCTGAGTTGTACTATTGTAAGTAGAACATCAATTTTTGGTTTTCTATGAGGTGTGAAAAGCTCAGATGCTTCCAGCCATCTGTTTCCATCTCCAGTTGCTAGTAATTATGTCCAGAACACCACAAATGTATACAATATTCAGCAGAACATTTAGTTGGGTACGCTGCCTGCCATCTAATATCTTACCATCTAAAAAAAACAGAAAAAAAGAGTCCATCAAGGGATTCAGCTGGCATTGGGACCAGTTTCTGAGAGCAAAAGCTTTTAAAGAGAACCTGAAGGGTGGAGAATGAGTTATTTCGATATCCATTCTGAACAAAAAGCCTATGGTTGCAGCCTAGCCCCTCAGGGGCTACAAGAGCTGACAGGGAATTTTCCAGGTAAATAGTGTCTTGTTGGGAAATGCATCTCATCAAAGAGGAAAGTGTAGTGACTCTGGGCTTGTCAAGCCCTTTGCAAAATACAGCTGGGTGTTGTGTTAGACACATCCCTCGTGCCCTGCTGGCTTGTGCAACAGACTGCTGGTGAACCTGGGCATCTCGTGCCAAGGAATATGGCACAGCCCCTGTGATGAAGGTCATCCCAGTGCTGCCACTTGCTAGCCAAGATTTTTGGCCGATGGATGTCCAGCGCTCAGCTAGAGACAAAGCGACCTCGGCACTTCTGGTTTCCCTGCTATGCAGCCAGAAGTCTGGGTTCTTAAGCTGCTTTTGTACTAGTTACTAGTTTTAAATGCCTCAAAAAATCTGTCAGTTCTTATATCTACAAGCACTTTTAAAATAATGCATTAAAGATGCCTTTCCTTTATGAATGGTTGTTTGAATTAAGCAGTGGGCAGGCCATAAGCTCTGTGGGCTATTCAGAATTTAGCCATGTGGGAGAAATGAAGTGTTTTAGGTTGTGGAATGCTTCACTTGTTTATTGGCTTTTTAAGAAGGGGGGAAATGTGCGTCTGGGGAAAATTAAGGCTTGGGACAATTTCTGGGGACAATTTCTGTGCTGTGCCAGCCATGGGACTTTCCAGTCCTCCCATATAGGGAATATTTAAGAGGAAGCAGAGAACTGGATAGCTATGCATTTTATTTTATGTGGAAATAAAGCCTGCAGCAAGAAAACATAGCAAAATCATACTTTAGCAGATGGGCAAATGTATTCAAACGATTAATATGATCAAATATGAGGCTGATTTGGATGTCAACCAGTTCCTGTAAATTGTGAAAAACTTGCTATCCAAGTGCAAATCTCTTTGTCCACCTTCAGCATAATGGAAATAGAGACTTTTCCACTACCATCTTTCAATTGAAAGATTACTCCATGGCAGAGGGCAAATATTCTTGCAGGTGACTATAAAGTGCTATGCAAAATAAAGATTCTGAGTGGCTTGGATATCTTCGCTCTCAGAAAGCTATGGTGCATACTTTTTTAGCTTAGCCAGAAGATTTTATTTTTAATCTCCATTGAACTTGTGAGATTTAAAAAAATAAAGAAACAAACACAAAAACATCTCCTGCGTTAGAACAAGAAGCCATTCTGGTAGCCTCTTGCAAAACGTAATGTAAAGAAAATCTTTTGTTTGTTCATTTTTAATGGATTAATTGAATTATTCTTGTTTCAATTTGAAAATCAATTTTTTAAACCAAAAATGAAGTTTCACGTCTACATTTCTGTGCATTTTCTACTGAAATTACATTTTGTCACAAAGCAGTTATTTGAGAAACAACCTTATCTTGGCTGTGATAGAAGATCATCCCTAAAACTAGTGTATTCTTACGTTAAGTTGTGGGTGAAAACTAGCAACAAATGCTTGCAAATAGATTGTACACGTTCATATATTGCTCCACTTCTCACAACTATGCATTTATTCTCTCCTTTATATTTACATATATGTGCTGAACAAGCAAGGAGAATGTAAGCAAGCGAGACAGCTAGCAGCTATGTCTAAATCAACTCTAGTTTTTGCAGTATTTTTGCAAAGACATCTACTGAGACTCCACACAAAACAAACAGCAAAACCCTTGGAACAATATCTCAGGTCTTAGACTGATATCTGCAAGTAGGATAAAATAAAGAGTGCACAAATATGTCACTGCAAAAGTCAACGTTTACCTCACAGGTTTTGATATGTTCCTGTTCCCACTCTGTTCTGACTTTATCCAGCTGCTCAATGTTCTGTTTGTACACATTCTCTGTAAACACAAACACATATAATAGAAACCCAACAGTTAGAGGAAAAAAAAAATTATACAGTCTTTCTCTTTTTCCTCCTATTAAGACTTTGCTGTGTTTTTTACACTTTAGGCCTGTGGTTTGCTGGAGTATCACAAGAATGTGTCAGCTTGAAACTGGTGGGCCTCAAGGATATTTGGATTTTTTTCTTTGCAAATTTATGCTAGAGTAAGGATTCTGTCTGCATGGTTGGCAGATCATCTATAAACATTACAGTGGGGATAACGCAAATCAGAGATGAAGAGCCTGGACCACGCTTGGGCACTGAGCATCCTTAGGCTCTTTCTGTGCTGAGCCAGCCAGGTAAGCCATGTGATGTAGTGTAAACTTTTACATGAGCAGTGAGGGACAAGTCTGAACTCATGAACCAGCTCAGATGTCTGCTGGCCCGTCCTTCGGGACATACACTGTGTTTCTGGATGGAGAATGCTGCCATACTCATGTACAGGGAACCTGGGGACTGTGTATCTGGTTTGGGCTGGCTGGGGGCAATTCGAGTGTCATTCTTTTGTGCTTTCAAACTTGCTTCAAGAAGAGCGTTCCTTTCCTGGGTGAAGTCCCTAAAGGAGGTCTTCTATAAATTCTTTAATGAAAGCAGGAGGCTCGCATTTCCACAAAGGGAAGTAAGAGTAGATGACTATCAGGTTGCTGTTCTTGAGAAGCTTCTTCATTAATCTTTGGGTAGGTGACTTTGGGAAACCTGACTTCAAACAGATCCAGCCTGGGTGATTTGGATGGTCGTCTATCAAAATCAGTGTGCTGGTAGATCTTTGCTGAGAAAATCTTAGTTCAGTTGCAAATAGAGCATCACCTGCTTCATTTGCTGCATCTCTGCATTGCTTGGCTTTGTTCTGACTCTGCAACAGGAGAAGAAACACCCCAAATTAATTTCTGACTGTATTTTTTGCTTCTGCCCCAGTTCTTTTGCTCCCTTTCCCCTTTCAGGGGAAAGGCTGAAACTGGCAAACACTTCTTGGCTGTCCCGCCTTTATGCACGGTTGTGTTGAATGTGCACTATGGAGAAGAAGGGACCAGAATTTCACAGATGCAGCCATAGGTCCACTGACTGCAAGGGGAATCTGGCAATTTACATCCTTCCATTCAGATGTCCAGGCCATAGGAGCTTGGTGCTATCATGATCCAGCCTGAAGTTTGTGTCTGCTGGCTGAGTTGTTTTTTTTTTTTTTTTCTCAAGTGTTTGATGTGCTTTTCTAAGAGATATTTATAAGTAGAAATAAATGGCCGTTAAAATTCTTCATCTTCCAAGCTCCTCATGTAATACACAGATGAAAAGAACACAGCCTTTAAAATACTTTGCAAATGCCAGATTATTTCCCACAACAACTCAGAAGCCTAAAAGCAAAATTCACTCTAAGTAGAACTTTTCTTTTTTAAAAACCTGCAGCTTTTAACAAATGAAAATACAGTTATTATTGACAGCTCTGTACTCCCAGGTCTTTCTGCACAGATGGTAATGACAGTACATTAATGCACAGCTCTAGACATCAGTGTAACACATTCGTCCATTCTGCCCTTCAAGACAAGGCTCAGGTAGGGGTTCTTATGGCCATATTCCTCATCACAGCTGGTTGGAAAGTGTGTAGTAAGCTGGGAACATAAGCTTCATTCTTATTTGCTTCATGTCCCATACTGCGAGTTCTGCACAGAATTAAACAGCTGACATGTTTCTTGTGAGATGCCTCTGTGCATTTCAAATGTGCTGGCGTGTGTGTGGAAGTAATGGCAATGAAGCACCCTGTGATCCTTCTGCATGAAAGAAGCTGTGTCAGATTTTGATGCCATTGAACTTGCTAAGTGTTCTGGCGTAATTTTAGTAGGGCCAGGATTTCATCCCCTCTTTACAGCTAAACTGGAGGGGTTTGTTCATCAAAGATTAGTAAATGCTGGAAATAAAATGTAAAGTTCGGATGCTGTTTTTAGAGTCTCCATCCCCCCACTCCTTGAGATAATTTTTGATCCTTTTTGCTTACACTGCACTGATTTTTATCGAGCCAAAGGGAGTTCATTTATTTTGTTTTCTCCATCTGTTCCGCTGTAAAATGTTCCCATTAAAAGTTAGTGAATTGTCAGCTACAAGTATCAAGATGATGCAATGAAGGACTGCAGTGCCTTAATTTCCAATGATTTATTTTTGAGTTTGTAAATTTAGTTGAAATTAAACTAACCATAAGGAGAAAAATGTTGAGGAAAAATATGCATTTTAATGTAGGATACTATGCCTACTAAATGTAAGAGACCAAAAGGCAAAGCTAACTGCATGACATATTTCTGGCTTGTTTCTTTTTTTACAAATAATTTTGGAGAAAAATCTCATTCAGTTTCCCTTCAGGATTCATAGAGCAATTAGATCATAGCCTGGCATAAATTAATTAGATAACTTCGTCCCTTCCCAGCCTTTTTAAAAACCTTTGGCCTATCGCAGAACAAGATCAGGGTTACCAAAGGAGTTTGTGAAGGAAGACCCCCCTGGGGAGGTGCTTTGGTTTAATTTTGATTCTAAGGGGTTAATTAGAAGGGAAAGCAGCCCCTGGCATCCCGCAGAATGGGTTGTTCAATTATATTCTTGTGTACCTTGAAAAGGAAAAAAACCACAGTTTTCTCTTGAAGTAGCACTGTCAGCTAAGGTACCTTTTCTGTTTGCTTTTGGTTGCCTGAAGCACTTGTCCGTTCAAAGGACTGCTCGGCCTCATCCGCCTCCTTGCACTTCTGTTCGTAGGTCTTCTTTGACTGTTTTGAAATTAAATTATTGAAATGAAATAAAATGTGAGGCTTTGGGTTAGGGAATGAGGCTGGGTTGTCTCCAGCTTGATGTTCTAGGCATTTTCTGTTTTGCAGTCTGGGGGAGCAAATCAGCACCTAAGTTTGGGCAACAGAAAAAAATTCCCAATGACATCATAAGGAGGTAGAAAAATAGAACTGAAAAACTGGGGTAGGGGCTGGCAGCATAAATCAGGTCCTCTTCTTGCACCCCTGAAATTGTTTGCTTTGTACAATTGCAGCCAGCTCCCTGCAAGGCTGGTCATGAATACACAGGCAGTGCTAGCGCCATCGGTGCATCAGGCATCTGTCCAAGCTGCAGTGTAGAGACAAAATTAGGAGCCCACATTCCCAGGCTGCCAGCTGGGATGGGTTGTCATTTCCACAGTGTGACTCGGAGCATCAGGTGGCTGAAGTCAGTGTGTTGCCTTGCCCATTGATCCAAGCTGTGAGACAGAGCCAGCACCCCATAGGTAACAGTCTATGTGTAGTCCTCAGAAGCAAAAGAAATCCTTATTTGCACCGAAAGACCTCCCTGTCTTAGAGATTGACTTAGAACAACCACATTTAAATAAAAATTGCTAATGCAGTTCCAGCTGCAGCACTGATGGGTCTGCAGCTACTTCTTTAGAGGCAATTGCCCGCTGGAAACCCAAACCAGCTGCCTGTAGTTCCTGTACCTGCAAGCTTTCCAGTTGGAGAGGTTTCCTCCTGTTTACAAGATTCCCTCACTGTTTTTAAAGTTGTATTTACACAGACTGAAAAAACTACATTTGCTCTTGTAAGTACCCTTGCCTAGAAGGAATTAAATCCTGTTTGATCTGGGACATTGTTCATTCCACATTAACTTTCTGAGTATTTGTTTTGGAGACTCTTCAGTAGGTGCGGTAGGGAAGATTAGCTTCCTCCTCATAGTAGGAATCACATCCTCCCCCTCTCTCATGCATACTCTTGCACACTCACACATTCTTGACCTTTCTTTAAATATAGGTACATGTGATACAGATTTCACCCTGTCTCAAATTGGAGCCAGTTTGCATCAAGAAACCTGCACAAAACCTCCTTGCTTACCTCCATTGTTTTCTTGTAATGGGACAATTTGCTCTTTTGCATGCGTTCCATTGCAGACTCATACTGTAAGAAATACACAGAAATAAGCATTTTTTTACTTTGGACTTCTTCTTCCCCTTTTTAGTGGCAGGATTAGGAAAGGCATTGTCAGGGCCTTTCTATAAGCCACATGCCTGTAGGGA